TTCTAGACACAAAATTAATTTTGGGTATTTAATGGTTATATTGATGATGCCTAAATTTGGCATGTACTATTTGTTGTGGAATAAGTGTGTTGAAATTTTTTGGCTGACCCAAAAAAAAAAATTATTAATTGTAAAGTATCTGATAAAACCAAAGTTCTAAAAAGCTGGGTTTAGTCTTCTAGTGAGACAATGGAGAATAAGAATCCTAAGCTAATTTTGTAGTGGGTTGTGTATTTGATGCAACAAAGTTGGAGTATTTTTTGTGCTATTCATAATTGCACATGTTAATTCTTGGTGGGTTATATATTTGGGTCCTGAAAGTGTGTATTATATTAACTTCATGGATAATTTAAGTAGTAATAAGGAATAACCGTAAATTTGGACATTTCGAATTTGAATTTTGACAACTTATTTTGGTTAGGTTATGAAGAATTTATCTTTTATCAATACTCTAGTCTCGAAGTTGATGATCTACCTTTGATCAGATCGGAAAAAAAATTAATTGAGATGCGCATAAAATTGTCCAAATACTCGTTGAATCCAAAAAATTTAAAAAATTGTGTATTCTATTGAGAATGATGGCACTAAGTCGACCATAATAGCTTTATTCATTCAAGCATATGCTATTTTCTTTGGGTGTTACCTTTTTTAAATTCTCTGTTTTTTAGCAAGTGACATATTTTAAAGGAATTATTGGTACCTCCCTACTCAACTAGTGGGTTCAAACTAGGCTTGTCAATGATTAGGCTTGAATCACAGTTATACTACTCAAATTTGAATTTGAAAGCTATAAATTTAATTCTGATATGATTATTCGACAAATTTTATATTTCTGATCTATATTCAAATTCGCTAAAAGCATCAACTTCATTTGAAAATCTTAAAATGTCAAATTTGAATATTTTTACAAAAAACCATATAGCCGTGGATGGGTGGATCACTTTGTTTTGCTCCTTTGGGCCCAAAAAGATCTTGTCTCTAAGAAATCATGTTTTATTGAAACCCACTAAGCCTGCCTCCAAGACTATTTTATCTTTATATCTTTCTTGATTTCTCTCTTTATCCAAATGACCATTTATATATATAACTAAAGATAATCCGTGTCTGAAGGTACGGTGTAATGTGAATAAATTTAAGAGAGATGTTAATGTTCGTTGGATGAGTCTATTTGAGACCGTCGAATAAGTTTATTGAAGTCTGTTCTATTTTATATTATAGATATCTTTTAACAACCGTGACGACGTTACCAACTTTTTATTTTATTTTGATGATCGACTAAGAGCTTCTAAGCTTGTATTTTTGAACCACAGAGAACTGGCATTTACCCGCTTGAGTGCAGGAATTTTAGTCCATGCACAGGAACAAGTTCATTTTACAGATTTTAACATAAGAGGAAAGGGGGTCTGGAAGGCCCAATCAGATGTGGAAAGGATGGGACATAGATGAAAGAGCTCACCTCTTCTAGCACTAAATCTAATTGGGCTAGGTCCATCTTACTTTTCAGATGGGAAAGGGTTGGACCTAGATATGGGCCGACCCCACTTTTTCTGTGACGTATTCTAATTCGGCTAAGTCCACCTTAGTTTGAAGAACAGTGTAGGCTTAATGCTTTTGGAACAAGTTTGGACTCCGACAGCTACTTTTGGGCCTCGGTACCTCTATAATTTACCAACAACGTCTTAATCACCATGGGGCCGGCAAGATTGTTGTCGTAAATCTTCATGATTTGAATTTGATCGTTTAGCCACTTCCCAAAGGGCTAATCTTTCATCTACTTATGCTACATTTTTAAATTTTCAGTTTGTTATATCAAACACAAAAACCGTTATTTTAAATAGAAAGAAAGGGAAGGGAAGGGTTGGACTGAATTAACAGGAACTACCAAAACTATAAACCTTCCACTTTGGAGTTTGGGCCTTTGACACCCCCCCCCCCCCTCCCTCCCTCCTCTAATTGAGGACCCAACCCCTATCATCAATTTTAATAAAAGCTGAGAGACTGAGAGCATATCAGCAGAGACAAATAAGTATAAATACATAAGTCTCAGCATCAGCATTTGACTATGAGTTGAGACAGCATAGACATTGACCCAGTTGACCCCTTCTGTATACATTGTACCCAGACCCACGCCTCTATATTGGCCCCACTATGGAACACTACCAAACACTTCCAACCTTTCACCCTTCAAGATGGATCCAAAGGAATAAATCCAGCCAGCATCTCTCCCTTCCAGAAGACAGTGCAGGTACTTACTTTATTATTATTATTCTCACAGTTAAACACGACTACAAGCAAATCAAATAAAAATTCAAAATTATAAATCATTCAGTATAATACTAAAAAAAATTACTTTTTGATACCATGGTCTAATCTTTATATAAACTTATAATAATGTTAACGTTAGCTATGTATCGTGTCTATATATCCTCCTAGCACTCTCGATTATCAAAGATCAAACTTTGTATATATAAAAGAAAAATGTCCACTTGGGTGTATGCTTAGCCACATAAAATGCCTATGTATTCCTAGATTATACTAACTAAAAATTTTATATAGAAGCACTCAAAGGATACCAAGTGGTGAAAGTTTGAAACCATTTAAAAAGTTTTCAAATTGCAAATTGCCAGACTGCTATCAATATAAGCCAAGTATTATGATTAAAAAAATAAAAATAAAAATAAAAAAATAAATGAAGGCCATACTGCATACTAATGAACTGACAAGAGAAAAAGTGTGACAGCTACATAATTATATGTGAAGCTTATCAACATATTAAGAAATATCATTAATAATTAAAAATTAAGATTGTTCTTATCTAGGCTTAGATGACTTTACTTTATTTTATTTTATTTTTTTTGTTTTTTTCTTGTTATCTTATTGAAACTACATTTATGGAGAGCCTCTGCTCTTTATAATATTATAAAGTTACCCTTGCATTTGGTTGATTGCATTCCTTGGGTCAATGCTTGTGGTCCTGTGGAGAGTTAGCATTATTTTATTTTCAAATTTTAGGTATAATTGGCTAAACAATTTTTAAAATAAAAAAAAAATGAGATTTTCTTTCAAAACTGATCTGAAAAGTCAGTAGTTTGGCTTTGCAGACCCATCTACTTTGCTGCTATCAAAATTTGAAATTAACATAATTCTTTCTTGTCTTCTTTATGAGTTTTGACCAGGAAGAGTGGGTAGTAAACAGGATTAAATAAACATGAAAATTAAACTTCGAACCGAAAATGGAAACCAAAAATTGAAGAAAGAAAGGGAGGACAGTGTATGTGCATTAGGGGTGTGTATTAAGTGTATATGTTCAAATGAGAAAATGGGATGACAGAGAGAGAGAGAGAGAGAGAGAGAGAGAGAGAGAGAGAGAGAGAGAGAGAGAGATGGGTTGTGGTGAGTTTGGTTGCTTAAAAAAAAACATAAATCTGAGGTAAAAATATAACCATCAGCTTTGTTACCATAGAAACACTGATAAAGGGTGTAAATGTATTTCTCAAAAGGGGGAAAATATGCTTCTGCTAATCTAATTATAACTTACCCTAGTTATTAACTAGGGTCAGCTTTACATGTACCCACATAATAGTATTGGTACTTCAATAGCTTTGAGCTTTTTTAATCCATGGCATAAAAAAATTAACAGTTTAATTACTAGTTAAGCTGCCTTTAAGTGATGAAGTGGAAGTAGAATAATCTAACTTTTAACAGTCTTCTTCTAGTGTATTAAAAAAGAATTCCATGTTCCTAGATCACATGATTTTTCCAACCAAGACATCATCATCTTGCTAAAGAAAAGGTGCAAAAGGTTAGATTTAGTTGCTTGGCTTTGATTTTTTAAATAGAAAGACCATGTTACCCAAAAGATTCTTAGCTCAATGTAGATATTGTGGACCATCAAAACTCAATGTAGAAGTTGTCTAGTGAAAATTTTGGCACATTAAGATTTTTTTGACTTGCACTTAAAAGTTTTCTACTAAAGTATGAAATTGTTGGTGCATTTAATTAGGTTTGACAAATATGCATTGTTTGTTTCTTTTTGATGGATATGTAATGTTTGCCAAAATAAATGTACGTTATCAAAATACAACAATTACAAGGTGAAGAAAGTTTCACAAGCCCCTTTAAGTCATGAAAAATAAACTAGGTATTTCAGCATCCTTTCTACTTTCTATCTCTTTCCCATCCTCACTCCCACATACACACACACCCACATTCGCACTAACGCTATGTTACACACATCAACCTCCATAATCACTATCTAAGAGAAAAGTGGAGTGGATATGTTTGAATGTGTGGGTGTTTGGGACATAGATGGAAGAAAGTGGGTTCCAAAGGGGAAAAAGGATCGTAGGGGATTGGGTAGTTTGTGAAGTTGTAGGAGAAAAAAGGGGGGGGGGGGGTCAAGTTCACCCACCATCTCTCTCCCTATTATTGACGAATTTATGATGACTATTTTTTACATCATTGATCAAATGAAGGGTGAATTAATCATTTCGTTATAAGAATATTCACTTACATTTCTTGATTGTAATTCACCTGTCATATGGAAGACCGTCTAGAGGTGATCATGCAATTAACCCATAAATTGGGAGTGAGTGTAATTAATCCCAGTAATTATAAATATTATTTGATCTGCTTATACTGATTGAAATTTAAATATCTTATTTCAACAATGCAGTCATGCGGAGCATATAAACTCCACCATACCCCATTCATCACATTCTTTACTGTCAATGAGTTGTAACAATGGCCTGAATTGCTAATCTGATCTAAGTAGGTGTGTTCATTAATATAATGGTGTACAAGTTTTAAATGAAAATAAGGAAGGGTCATATGAAAATTGCAAAAAAAGCAAACTTTGTTCTTTATCTAATTTCATTTCGTTTCATATTTTTTTTTTCTATGTGTTTGGTACAATATGTATATAACTTATTTTGTGTGTGTGTGTGTGTACAGTCTCCTTATATTTCCTTTTAAGAAAGAGGGACGGCTGTCTTCATGCTTTGGCAACCTAATTTTCACTTTTCCCAACCACAATTGTTTATTTCTTCATTTTCTTTTCTACCGGATTCCAACTATTTTCTTAACCAAAATACATAATATCTATGCTTTTTAATTACTAATAATTAATGGAGTAATATTTTATGTATTTTATTTCTTCATTTTGTTTTTTAATAATCACAATTTGGACAGTCACAGGAAAGTTGGGAACCCAAATTAGCTTTAACTCCCAAAACCCGAAAATTTCCCCATTTTCCCCCTACAAACACTGAGCAAAGATTCAATCTTCTGTTATCAAACTCACTATTTATCACAAAAAATCAGCAATTTTTATTTTTATTTTTTCGAAATATTTGATCATCAGTCATCACCATTAAAGCTCAGTCTTTGCTTTACCGTACTTTATAATATCTACAAATTTCAAATGAACAGTCTGAGTGTTTTTTTAGTTTGATCTTTCTTCACTCTCGTTGTCCCTTTTTTTTAAAGTTCTGTTAGAAATTAAAGTACTTCTCAAGCATTGAAGTTGGAGCTCTCCTTGGTTTCTTTTTCTGGGTTTTGAGTTTTTGGTGTGTGGAGGTGAGTTGTACTATTTTTTTCTTTATTTTTTGACATACCCAAAAAAAAAAAAAATCTTGATTTTTTTTAGTTAATTTTTTTGTTCAGAGAAGCTTGGAGTTTTTAGGTGTTAGGAAAATCATGTGTTTTTGGTGAAAAAGTTGGTAGAAATTGTTTGGGGGTGTTGGAAATGGAAGGTAGTAGTGGGGTAACAGTGGTGGGATCAGATGCTCCGTCGGATTATCATGTAGCTCCGAGGACTGAAAACCCTAGCCTAGTCAGTGGATCAACACAGCCAGTAACACTCCAAATGGTTGCCTCTACGCAGCCGGCCACGGCGGGTGGAGTGGTGGTGGGGAAGGTGAAGAAGAAGAGAGGTAGGCCGAGGAAGTACGGACCGGATGGGTCTGTGACTATGCCGCTCTCGCCGACTCCAATATCGTCTTCAGCTCCACCTCCAGTGATCGACTTCTCGGCCGGAAAGAGGGGAAAAGTCCGGCCAGTTGGTTCAGCTAGCAAGTCAGTACCCAAGATGGAGATGGAGAGTTTAGGTAATTGGAAAGAAAAAAAATCCTTTTTCCCCATTAATTTAAATTTTTTTTTTTTTTGCGCTGTTCTTAATTATATTGTTTTGTGTGTTTAATAAGGTTCGATTTTTACATGCACCCATGTTGATGTTTGTTTTCTGGACTTCTGCATTTGCTTTTGTTGATCTAACTTTGTTGTGGAAAATTAGTGTTTGGAGTTTGAAGTTTATAGCATATGTTTTGGGTGCAGATGTGGGACCTGTGAATAGATGCCCCAACTTAGATCTTGAATTGGGTAGTTCTGAAAGTCAGGTGAGATTTGTGGGTTGGTGTGGGAATTAGGGAATCTTTTAGGGACTTCTTACTTTTGGGGGAGAAATAAGAAGAGGAAAAGAGTGTAAACTGTGGACGTTACCATCTTGGATAACCTGGCGCAGTCAAATGAGGACTTAAGTAATTTTTAAGGAGATCTGATTTTTGGATCTGTCGTGGCATCTTGGATCTACTGCTTAATGGGAATGAAGTTCCTGTTTACATGTTTTCTTGGTATGTAATTGTTAGTTTCTTTTAATGTGATTAAAGTTAGAGGTTTCGTCATTATGACGTTTTGTGTCCTTTGCTTATTTTGATGCTCTTTAACAACTGGACCTGAATTGGGGGACTGTATAGCGATAAGTTGTGCTCTATCTTTATAGCCTCATGTGAGGTATTACAACTTTGTTGTTTTGGTTTCAGACTTCCCCTTTCTTTGACTGGGTTGAATTGGTTTATTTGTTTATATTTGGGTGATACTTGTGTTTGATGGTGGAAATTATCAAGATGCCTGTTGTTATTTTGTCTACAAAGATTGATTTTTTAGTTTATTATTCTGAATACTGCATAAAAGGTGAGGTATGAATATGATTTCCAGTTTATTAGATTATATATTAAGCTGAATAGATATGGGATCAGCCTAAAATTCCTCAAGATTACCTTAATACTAGATGTTGTGGTTTTTCGAATATGAAATTTGATGGTATATTTATGTTGTTCAAATTGACAAATACGTGAAATAATTGCAGATTGTTGATCACTTATAATTAATATTCAACTTTTGTGTGCAGGAGAATGGGTTTCATGCTCTGTTGGTGCTAATTTTACACCCCATATCATCACTGTTAATGCTGGAGAGGTAAGTGTTATAAATAATTCGTGACATGATTTTGTTCCAGTTGCCTAAGTTTGTGAGAGAAACAGGCATGATATTGTTTGTGATTAGCCTTAAAAAGAAGCCAGGAAACAGTAAGAAAAAAAAAAGGTGAGATTCTGTTTTAAAAAAGGGTGTTCCCTGATTCTCTTTGCCAGAATTGTACGTGGAAATAATTCGGAGTGGAGAAAAGGCAAGATCTTGTGTCGCAAGGCATTAGCAACTAGGAAAAAAATTCATATTTTCTTGTTTCCACTTCCTGAATATTGTGTATTTCCTGTCCAGTACTTTTATCTGTTTTCTTTCCTCATTTAAGTGTTCTTAAATCATTTTTCTTTCTCCTTTCTAGATCCTTAAATGTTTCCACGAATGTGTATTACTACTGTTGCCACCATTAGTATAAAGAATGAACCTTTTTTATTTCTTTTCTGAAATGTTGTGGTGCAAAACAGTTGTGCTCGACTAAGTTTGATTACTTCTTAAAATGGAGGGCTGACAAGATGCAAACCCCTTTAATCTTTTTATGTATTTCAGTTTCAGACGCAAAAGCGAGATCTACTCTGTGCAAATCTAATGCCTATGTTGCATCTTTGTTGCTGGAACGTCCTATGTGGCATTAGCTCTTATTTGTTTTGGGTACTTGATTCATATGCTATGAGATTAATGGAAAAGGATTGCATAGCCAGTATCCATACTGATTTTTAAGTATAAGTACTTTTGGTTAACATAAGAAGAATGCTCCTTCGGCAATCTTTTCAGTTTTTTTATGACGAAAGAAACTATTGTCTTTTTTCTGATAAGAAGAAAGAAGCTATCGTCTCATGTATGAGGTTGTGCATGTTGCCAAAGTGGCTGCTCCTTCTCTAACTGAAAATCGCCATTGTTTTTCATATGAATAGGGACATTTTTTAGTTATTTACTGTATTTTACAGCATTGCTATTCTGCTTTGGTTGTCTTAGGATGTCACCATGAAGGTCATATCATTTTCTCAACAAGGGCCTCGGGCAATATGCATTCTCTCTGCAAATGGCGTGATTTCAAGTGTGACACTCCGTCAACCTGATTCTTCTGGGGGCACATTGACATATGAGGTTGTGCAACTGATAATTCTTTCTTCAAATGCTTGATCTTCTATGTTAAATTAGTTTTTTATTGTCCATAATTTAAAAGCATGGACACAAATATGACACGACATGACATTTTGAAACATGACTCCCATTTGTAGTTTTTGTTTTTTATTTTGCATACCATGTACAAACGATATAATTCAATTTTTTGTTTCTAAACTATTACAAACTTATGGTAATGAAAGAGTCAATTGTCAGTGGTGTACGTATGAAAAGTTTGATATCCTATATACTTCATATATATTTGCACATTTCTAATCTACTGAGTCATGTTGCTCCAATATGGCTTGGGCACATTACAAGTTGAAATATTGGATCTTAAAAACATTTAACAATTTTACTTACAGAAAATCAGCTTGCTTATGGTGGTTTTGCTTATGTTCATGTTCCTTCTTTCTCTTGTCCAAATCATCAGATGAATCTCTCTTACTACATGAGTTATTTCTGCTATCTACTAAGTTCTCATGTCCCCTTCTATCTAGTTTTTTAACTGGTTCATTTTTCGAATGATGGAATTAGTGTTTGAATCGGCCTGATGAGTTGAGACTGTTTCAAATATAAAGAGCCTATTTAGCAAATCTGAGGAGTGAGCCAGTTGGGGACAAGATTGGCTGGTTTGTGGTGGCCAGTGTTTGGTAAAATTAACTGTTTTCTGGAAAGCTTGAAGTCTGAAATTAAAAACAAAGCATTGAACCAGTCTGCTTCCTGATCAACTCATTGTTGATTCTCCTGAGAACAAGATTACTGAATGCGATGAGACCTGGATTGACCCAATTCTGAAGATTCCCAACTAGCCCCTAGATATAAGCCTTTAGCATCGTTCTTGGTAGTTGCTTCTCAATCTTTATAATTCTTTTTCATAGATCATTGAAAGGTATATAACCTCTTCCCTCTATTGTTGTTGTAGGGTCGATTTGAGATACTCTCATTGACAGGATCATTTATGCCATCAGAAAGTGGAGGAATAAGGAACAGATCTGGTGGGATGAGTGTCTCTTTAGCAAGCCCAGATGGACGTGTTGTGGGGGGTGGAGTTGCTGGTCTATTAGTTGCTGCTAGTCCTGTGCAGGTACGAGCTTACTTTTCCTTCACTTTTATTTTTCCTCGTGGGGGTGTGGAAGGTTTTCCAGCAAGTGAAACTGGTATTAACTGACATGAAATCTGTTTGGCCTTCCACAAAGCCCTCTCGGCAGATGATGTTGTTAAGTGGTCGTATGACACATGTAGCTCTTTTGTTGTTGTTCCTATACAACAGGTCGTTGTAGGCAGTTTTTTGACGGGGAACCAGCATGAGCAGAAGACCAAGAAACAGAAAACAGAGGTCATAACGACTGCCACACCTACCTCTGCCATTCCTATTTCTAGCGCAGGGATGGAAGAGCCATATGGTGGGCAGGTGCAGCACATTTCAGCTGCCCCAAAAACAAATCTTTCATCGACATCTTCCTTCCGTGGAGACACCTGGTCTTCATTGCCCTCAGAATCGAGAAATAAGCCGACTGACATTAATTTAACTCTGCCTGCATAGTTATCTAAAGGACCTTGGCCCATTCTGCAACATGAGGTTTGTTACTACTGGCCACATTGGCACAAGACTTCTATTGATGTATCTCACCTCCCCATCTTTGTTTGTCTGTTGCGTTGTATCGGCATGTTGATTTCCGGCTGGATTCTGTAGTTTAGTTAGTGCATTTGATGAGTTTCTTTAGCTTCTGTTGCCTTGTAGAATACTTTGGTGTATAATTCACCTGTCTGGATATGACTTCCATCGGAGTTATGCATTATAATTTAAGCATTTGGCGTGTTTGTTTCCTCTTTGGAATTCATGCTACTCCCCTAGCTTTGTGTATATCGGTTTTGTTTCTGTAATCAATGGGCTATTCTTCTTCTGTAACGACTAAAATCCCTCGATTATTACAAATTATTCTACAAAACCCCTCCAACTCCAACCCCCCCAACACCACCCCCACCAAAAAATAACCCTCCACCTGCCCATTCCCGAGTCAGCCCCAGCATGCATAACATAACCCACCACACATCGACTCAAACCCGGACTACCCTCCATTTCCACCTTTTTCTACGTTTCCCTAGCAATACAAACACGAGCATATATGAAGAGAGATTGTCATATATAAAGAAAGAAGAAAAAATAAGAAAGAGGGAGGAAGTGGTTGGACAGAGAGTTGAGACTGTTTGGATGTAAATTTTCCATTCAAATGCACCTTATTCCGAGTAGTTTGACAAGAACTCAAGAGTTGTTTGGTAATGTTTTTATTTTTGTGTCTTTAAAAAACCAAAAATAGAAACAATTTTTTGTCTCTATTTTGTGATAAACATTGAAACAAAAAACATGTTTGATAGTCATTTTTTTCTATCAAATTATGAGAATAAAAATAGAAAACATGTTTGGTAACTACTTCAAGTTTTATCCTACATCATTTTTTATTTTTTTTGAGAAAAATTTTATTCCATCAATCAATGAATTACAAGAACCAAAGGAATTCAAAGAACTCTAACTACAAAGAGTTGGCTTTAATCCTTCAACAACACTAAAGCCATAAAACTATCCACACAGTCCAGCATCCAGACTGTTCATGCTAAGCATTTGCAAACAGCACTTCCACTGTCAAAACCTCTATCCAGCTGAATCCGCATAAAAACCCTGCTGGCCATTTATCACAAACCTCCTCCTTCTTGCATTAGGCCTCCGTTGCAACAAGAGCCTGATTAACAGCATTGTGAGCAACCACCAGCACAGACATGCTTTCATGGGTTAGGATTTTAGTCCAGCAGCTTCTAGCACGTGCCCATAACTCCCTAACTGGGTAATGGTCATCAATATTGAAATTTGCCGCATCTATTTGCCACTGGTGATAAGCTGCACCAAACTTGGCTTTTCCCTCATGCTTAAGGAGACCCTAAAATTAATAATGGACGAGCAACCATTAAATACTGTGCATTCGAGTGTTACATCCACCTGTTATTGAAGCATTTTCTGTATTTTAATGAAAGCTGAGGCACTGTTGAAAGAAATGTGAGAAATCAAACTAACTTGGAAGGAGGAGTACAGGTCAATTTCTCTCAAGTCGGAGTCAGTAATTATCTCCTCCTTGCAAGAACCCCAGATAACTTCAGCTGTTCTGTTCGATCTAATCAGTGGGCTGAAATGCATAAACTTTCAGAGAATGGTTCTAGGAACATATAACAATGATCAACTGATCTACACACAAGAATCCATTAACCTAAAATACACATATGATATTCAGATTCATGGACTCATGATCAATGTCACCAAAATAAATATGATTACACTGCATGTGGCTATCACAACCAATTCCTCCATTAGGTTTATTAAAGCATCAGAATACACAAAATGATGACATTAAAATAATATTTATGGCAGTAAATATTATAAGAAAGGGCAACTATGTCACTTCTATTTCCTAGAAGCCCCATTCATGGTCAGAGATCCATATGTTGAAAATGCATTTGATGGAATCTCAAACGGTGAGGTGCAACAACAAATAGTCCAAGCAATCCCTAACTAAATTTCAATCGCCAAGGGAAATGCTTGGCTCTTCTGACTGTCAACTGATGTACTTTTGACAGAAAGGATCCCTGCAACCTTAGACAGAAAGTTTCGCATCTATTGCTCTTTACACAGGAAAGAGGTGCAAGGTGTGGAGGTTTTCTCTGGTCAAAGGGGAAAAAATGAGTAGGGTTTCAGAAAGCACTTTGAGAAGATGTCTCCTACATTATCCTTTAACACAAATACATAACTACCAAAATCAAGTTTAAAATTCTTGGGTTCCCCCAAATATTACCTTCAACAAGATTTCCAAGTAAAGGACAGAATAATTAAAGCTCAGCTCTGCTTCCAATCTGCGTATAGCAAGTGCACATACCTAGGAATTACAATGCCTAAAGCACCTTCCCCTACCTCCAATCCAGCGTCAATTAGATAAATGAACCTTCCTGGTTGTCGCAAAAAGATATTTTCCAACTTGTTGTATTACTCTGAACAGTCAACAAGTGATAGTAAGTGAGAATAGGATTTTTTTTTTCCTTTTGGTCTTTGAAGAATTAGCTTTCACTTTCAGTAAGTCCTTTAATAGATCTCCATCATATCACCCATTCCATACCAACAATACAACCTCCATAACAAATATTAGATTACAAATCTTCCAGATTGTGCACTCCAATTGAATGAGGCACCTCTCAAACTATACTCCTCGGGCACAAACATCGGTTATCAAGCTAAACATCTCTAAAAAAATCTATAAAGGATTCAATATTTTACACTAAATTTTCTCAGCATCCTAATCGTTGCCCTGCGGTACCACAGCAAACGAAGCAGGGTATTCATAGAACATAACATTTATGACATAAAATGCAGTATAACTCGAAAGATCAAAGCTAAGGGCACACCAAGTGTTCGATATAATGCCATATCACGATCTACACATATACGATGGCATTTATATGTACAAAGTAGAGAGATAGAGAGACAGAGAGAGAAGATGAGACCTTGTTGAAGAAGATCTGGCCGCTGGAGAGGGCGATGTAGAGGAGAATGTAGAAGTAGGTTACGATCCGATCCGCCATTGTTGGGCACGCACACTTTCTTACTAAATCAGTGACTCATGGCCTCTCAAGGACGGATTTGTACGTAGGCTTCTTCGTCGATCTGTGACTGGAAGTCCCTTCTCTTGAGGTTAGCCTTCTTTCGATCGATCTGCTGAGAGAGAGAGGAGAAGAGAGGCGATGCTGAGTCTGAGGACCAAACGATTAAGACCATGTCTATATACTCTATGTTTATATACTCTCTGATATGGAGCGGTATTTTGTAGTTAAGAGGAGTCGAAGTTTAGACCTCATTAATATCAATCAAACGTGTTTTGTGTTTTTTAAAACATAATTTTTGTTCTCATTTTTTTGTTTTTGTCTCCGATACAACTAAAACAAAACAAAATCAAAAATAATTAACAAACATATTTTTGTTTTTAATTTTTATAAAAATTAAAAATAAAAACATAAAACACGGGATAAAAACAATTACCAAACAGACCCTCAGTACTTAGTATCACAGACGCTAAGAGTTGCGTCTATTAGGATGCACTCCCTCCATTTGAACACAACGGTTAACTTTTAAATGGCGATTGAAAGTTTTTTTCTAATGGCTAAAAAATTTATAAATTTTTTAAATAGTGTCTTCTACCGTTGAAATGAAGAGATATACGTGTTCATGAAGTGATACATAGAACTCTATAAATAGAGTTCAATTGCAATTTCAAATCAATTAATGTCTCTTTTGGTAATTGTTTTTGTTTTTAGGTTTTTTTTTTCTTTTTAAAAATTAAAAACCCCAATGCATTTGTTAACATTTGGATGTTTGTTTTGTTTTGTTTTTCTCTATTCTGAAAACATTTATATTTTAGAGTGAGTGTTTGAAAACAATTTCTTTTAAAAAAAAAACAACAAAAACTAAAAATCAATGGATGTTTAGGTTCAATTTAATATGATCTTGACAGCTTCTCTGCCACCGCCACCCTGCACCCACTCCCCTACCTAACCCAACACCACTCGCCACCACCTAGACCTCCGTCACCAATACCACAACCCTCCACACACCACCTCTGCCACCACGCATTATCACCATTACAACAACCATTGCTACCCCCGTCGCCACAACCCTCTACCACTCTATTGTTATTACCAGCATCACCACCACTCGCCACCATCATTGCACAGTCACTACCACTATTACTACCACTACTATCACTATCACTATCACCACAACTACAATCACCCCATTGTCACTGCCACCGTCTACCACCACTCTCTCTCACCACTGTCCTCTACCACTGTTACTGTCATCACTACCACTATCACTACCACCACCACTACTATCACCCCATTGTCACTGCCACCGTCCACCACCACTCTCCCTCACCACTATCCTCTACCACCGTTATTGCCACCAATTTTTGCAATCACCCACCACCATTCTGTTCCCAATACCTCCACCCTCCACCACCACCACACCTGCTTGATTAAGGATTTCCATGTGCACAAACCATGTCTAGTTGCTGGATTTTGTTTACTCATATGAATATAGGTGAGAATTAAGGGCTTGCTTTACAATTTTTAAAAACAGATGTGGATTATTTGAAACCCTCTATAGCCTGTAAATCCCTTATTTTCTTTAGTAATTACAAAAAAAAATAAAAATGATTGATTCAGATTTCTAGAACTTGTAGTTAAGGTTGGAAATTAGTCAATCAATAGCTCATTTAGTGAAAAGAAACCATTGAAGCTAAGGATTAAAATCAAAGCACTATTGCAATCAATTTAAATTGAGTTGACTCAAAATGATATTCCCACAATCTAGTTGATGTTCATCATCCTTTATAAATTCGTTTGTTTCAAAACTATACAGTGATTGATTCATTACTTTTTTTAGGGCAATTGAAAAAATCAAAATTTTATTTTTATTGCCTACATTTTTTATTAACAAGGCAATAAAATAAATTTTTGGAGAGTAAAATATAGAATGCCAACATAATCTTACCAGTAATATTATGCTGTCCAAAAAATTTTCTAAATTTCCTTGCCCAACACAGCTGGCACTTGCCACTTGTCTCTGGGTCCCAGACAATTATTGCAGACCTTATTTTCATCCTCAATTTATGTATTTCTCCCTCAACTCATCTTCTTCTTTCTCCCTTCTTCCTCCTCCACCACAATATCCCCCCACCCCACAACAACAACAAAACCTCACCCACCACCTTCATCATTTCCCCAAACCCACAATAGTATACCAAACCTCCAACAGACGCTGAACACACCAACCACTACAACTAAAACACCAACAATAAAATCATCCACAGCTCCACCACTACTACCACAGACGACGTTTTGACTGGCAAATGATTCCGGTGATAATAAAGAATAGGTGTGTAACAAACCTTATTCCTCAGTGGATATTGTTTGGCGACATTATCTCAAGGGAACTTTTCCCAAGCAGCCCAAAATAAAATTGGCTTCCACACTCAAAATAAAATTGGCTTCCACAATAGAAGGTCTGCAGTAAAAAAAAAGAACTTAGGTTTGGGTATAAATGAGGGAGTTGGGTGTTGGTGTGTAGATTTATTGTAAAGAGTGATAGATAAACGCATGGGAGTGTTGATGAGGGAGAAGGAGATGAGGCGAAAGAAGACATTGGGAGAAAAAAACTAGAGATAACAGAGATGGGATGGTAGGCCCCACAAAGACATGTGGCAAGTGTCAGCTGTAGCATTACTCTAATCTTACACACCACTTTTATACATCGTATAACAGTGCTCTACATGTTGTTTCTTGCTGTGTCTCTGATATTTGTGACTGATTCATTCTAAATCACGGGTTATCCTTTTAACCCTAACATTTGAGTACCTAATCACCAGGACAACCATGGATCATGAACCGGAAGAGCATAACGTAACATGGGATCAAGCATGGATCTATCGGTAACTGTCATTACCCAAACCAATCCTATTCAAATTTCAAAAAAGTTACATATCATAAGAGCAAAATTCGAATATACTCTTTAAAGTTTAATCTAGACTCCATTGAAGAAGTTATTGTTTCTGTCTTTGCATTCAAATCATCATCAACAATCTTTGGGATTCATAAAAAGATTGAAAGATATGTGATTTTAGATGAATGATAATGTACATTTTTGGGTTTTAGGAAACTCATTGCCTGATGTGTCGTTCTTATTGTCATCTGGGTTTTTTTTTTTGCATTAATAACATTAAAATTAAGATGGATTGTTACTATAATAAAAGTGTTATGTATTTTGTTTTTGTCATTCTTTTTGATGTGTTTGACAGTTGAAATCCGCTGGTTATGTTTCTATGAAATATATGAGGTTACTGTGTGAGGAGTTGAATAAATTTATCTCATAATTTAAATATCTTGATATTATTGATCGGTGTTGAGTGTCCTAATTCAAACATTGACAGTGTGTTACAATTGTAAATTTTTTAAATTTTCAATTTTAGAATTGTTTGTTTACTATAACCATTTGAAATTTGATATTATTGTGAATATAATATAGCCTTTGGGATGAAACTATTCATGTTAGTGTTACTAATTTAATGTGCTATGTATTTACATATGAACATTTTTTTTTGCTTTATGCGTTGTTCAAGACATTCGAAAATCATGGTTTCAAAGTAACATGAAATATATCATGTTACTCTGTCTAAATATGAAAAATTAATTTATTAATTTCAATGGATTGATGTGCTTAAATATTGTGGATGTTACTATGAAATTGATGTTACAGCACATGTGTTACTGATCACAACCTTGAGTTTTTACCTTTAATGCACAATCTGTTGGTTACGAAAAGGAAAATATCACAAGTTTTCTCAAAAAAATGTTCAAGTTACTTTTGAACACTGTTACTTACATTCCAAAAATTGCAACATGGGGACTCAATGGATTTCCAATGGAAACAATTTTATAATGAAAAATGTAGTTACTGAACTAAAAGTCTATTATATAATTATATGTGTAAATTTTTTGTTGCTTTCTTCGTTGTTCAAGAAATTTAAAAACTATTGGTTCAAGAGTACATTGAATCTTTTCATGTTACTGTGTGATAATTGAAAATTTGAATTCATATTTCCAATGTAAGCTTGTGCTTTGGGTACTATGGATGGTACTGACAAATTGATGTTACTGTAGACATGTTATTGATCAACTCCCTTTTTGGTTTTTACTTTTAATGCACCATATGTTATTTATGAAGAGTTCAGGGGTTGTTGTTTGATTTTAAATGTAAAAGAAGAACACAATGAATTTGCAATGGAATTGTGTATTGAAAAATAATGTTACTGAATTATTTGTTTTGATGTTACCATATTTACATCATGTAATTTGGTGGAACTGTTAATGTTACTTTTGCAAAAAAAAATTCATAATTGGTTTATATCCATTATGCTTGGTATCATGTTACTATATTATGTATGTTACTATTTTATATGTTACCATATGTTGTGTGTTATTATTTTGTATCATGATACTTTATGTTTGTGTAGGATATTGATATTACAACTGTCCAATATATTCATATTGATATTACAACGTCGTGCTATAGGTTGATGGCAATTACAGGAAATAGAAAAGAAATTGAAACCGGTATAACTTAACACTCTACGAATACATATGGTGACTACATTCATAAACCATAGGAATGTATGAACTGTTGAAGACTACAAGACAAGATCAAGATTGAAAAAAAGATACCAAAAAAATAAAAATGGGTGATGTTGTAAAGCTATTCATTCTTTAGCTACTTGTGAGCTCGATTAGAAGTTGGTTGTAATTGTTTATTGATTGATACTTAGTTTAAATGGAGTATTCAAACATGTAGAATTGTGGTTTGGATGTTACACCTTGATATTAAATTGATATGTTGATGTAAGTTTGAGAATTTGTTTGTAATGGAATGTTTGGAAAACAAAGAAAATTTTGTCCAATTTGTAAGTGCAACAGTAACTCAAACAGTAACATGTTAAAAAATATTCCAACTAACATAACCATTCAATTTTAGAATGCTAAAATTGTGTTGTATGTGAAATTGATATGTTAAAATCCGTTGTAATTATTCATTATCAAGTGAATTTGTAATATTGTTGCACGATTGGTTACTGTATGTAATGATCATTAAATAGTAACCTTAACAGTAATATCATTAGTAACACGGAGTCTCGCGACTACTTCTATCACCTTCAAACCCCCTGCCAAACACAAAAACATGTTATTTAAAAGTATAACATACTAAAATTAATTAAGAATTCGAATTTGAATTTGAATTGATAAGGAAAACTTGTGATCTAATTAATTCGTCAATTAGGTTTCTATATATCGCTAGCAGAGTATATACATTTCATATATTCTTCATTTAATTGTTAGGATTTTTAATGAAAAATGATTTCCATATATAACTCAAACTAAGGTTTCTATATATACTTTAAAGATTTAACTTATTGGACTTTCTATAATTGAACAAAACTAACACCGTTAGGGGTAATATTGAGATTTAAAAAAAAGTGGGCTTAAGTACCTACATATAAGTTTAAACACGGACTTAGACTCCAATAAGTTTTCTTGTCGGACTTATCTTCAAATAAGTCCACACAGGGGGACTGGCCTCCAAATTTCCCTAAAAAAAAAAATATTTATCACTAAGTATCAGTCCACCCCTAAAAAAAAAATCTCATCCACCCCAACCCAACCCAGCCCAGCCCACCTGCAAACCTTCCCTAAAATAGTTGGTCACTCCCCCCCCCCCCAAACCATGTCTTGTCCCTTCTCTCTCAGGCGAGTCCTTTCCCCAAATCTCCGGACAAGCAACGGCTGACAACAGTACACACAGACGACGAGGTCTAATCCTTCCATCAAATCTCTCTCTCTAGAGTCTAGTCTCTACAGATATATCACACACACAGCTATGAGGATCAGGAAAATTTTTCCACCTTCTTCTCTCTCTTCAGTCCCTGACTTAGATCCCCAACACCACCGGTCACACCGGTGGCGCAACAACACCATCTACTACACCAATTGATCCTCCAAATCTCTACAGATATATCACACATTCAGCCGATCGATCCTCCAAATCGGCCTCTTCCACCTTCCTCTAATCAGCACACGATAGGTTTACTCTGGGACTGCCGATGAACAGAAGTTGAACCAAAAGGTAGGTTTGGTTGGTGGGAATATCATGTATTTCGTTTTGTTGGTCTATTCATATTTAACTGCACCAATTACCTATTCTAATTGGCCCAATGATTCTCTGGCAACACACAGGCGGCTCCAATTGGAGTTTTCTAATTTGGGCAAGGACGGATCTGATTTGGTGCATATCTGATTCAGCTTCAAAGCCTTTGGTGCCATATAGGACGCCTTTTGCTGGAAGTTCCAAAATTCAAGTAAGTGCAAATTAATTATGTGTTTTCCTTTTATGTAGTTTAATTTTTTAAGATTTTCTTTACTTTTGGGCTTTTGTAGTTTAATTTTTGAAGATTTGCTTTACTTACTGCTTGTTGCAAGCTCCTTCAACGTGAGTTGCATATCTGGCCTTGCATTAGATTTTTTGGATATGTGTAGCTATTCTATGCTTTTTGCTATTATATGCAATTTTGGAACATCGGTGTTAGATGTTTAATAGTTGGAATCTTGGAGAATTAGAGCCATTTATTTGTGGCCAAATCTTTTTCAATTTTGTGGACATAATTTCGCTTGAGCAAATGTTCAGCAAAAAGATTATGGAAATGAATGTTGAAGCTCCTTCTTTCTCTCTTGGTTTTTTTTTTTTGGAGGCTGGTGTTCAATGGTAGGTCTCTGTTTTTCTTATACTAATGGGATGAAATTCTATTAGTTAATAGATAATACTGTTTTTCTCACTGGTTCTTCTTCTTCCTCACCATTAGCAATCATACATTGTCCATCTGGTTTGGCAATTTGAATACGTTTGAGATCTTCGAAACTTGGTATGACATCCATGAATATGTCTGATTGAGAGCTTTGGGTCTTTTGAATGGATCTCACTGGGAAGTAGGGGAATTTGACAGCAAATTTAGTGTGAGTAGTTGTAGTAAACGAGGTTCTCCCTCTCTATATTTATACTAATGTAGAAGGTGTTATGAATGTTCTAAACTTCTAATCTCGTTTTGGTTAATGATCAGAAGAAGAGGCGTGCTTGAATGAGCTCATGTGAAGTATGCTGCCATGTGTTGCACAAGAAAATATTGGATGTGACCGTCATCATATTAACATTCAATAAAAACCTAACGAATGAGTGATACCATCTTATTTCAGTCATGTTATATCTACATTCAATAAAAACCTAACTAATGAGTGATATCACCTTATTTTTGCATGACGAATGATCATGAAATTAAAAAATTTAAAAACAAGAGCAGTCCCTTATTTCCATCAGAATGCCTCAGAGGTCAGAAAAGCATTTATGTTTAGCAAAATATGGAGTATAATTGCAGCAGCTGTGTTGCATATGGTTCCTCTTTACTGTCATCGACTTAAATGCTCTATTGTTAGAGCAGCTAGCTAAGTGTTTTTTATACCATTGATTTCTTCTTATCTTGACATCCTTTTCCAGTTCAAAATGTTGCTTTCGAAATTTGTTTCTCTAGTTTGTTTCTCTGATTTTCAACCCTTCTTTACTTTATTATGATGGAAAATCAAGAACTAAAAGGAGCAAAAATAATTTTTTCGTTCTTCAAAAAGAAAAGTGGAGAAGAAACATCAAATTCTAGTCTTGAATCTTTGAATCTAGTAGAAACATCAACAAGTGTTGATGTTCCTATGATTCTTGCGACTGTTAAACCTCAAGGTCCTCAATCTCAAACAAAAGTTGCAAGGATTCCTTTTGATGAGAATGAACTTGAACGAGATCCCGTATTGCGTATTCTGATATGAAAACATCCTGTTTATAATCAAGATAAAGTTAGACGTGCTTATATAAAGTGGGGACCAAATCAACCTATCTTGGCTGAGTATTCGAGGACTAAAACTGGAGTTCAAAATTGAATATTTCAGGAAAGTTGGTACAAAAAATTTTCATGGCTAGAGTATTCTATTTCAAAAGATGCGATATTTTGCTTTTTGTGCTTTGTTTTTCAATGTCGTGAACCTCTACATCTTGCATTTACCGTTGATGGTTTTAGTAATTGGAAGAGAGTGAATAATGGGGTCAAATGTGTTTTCTTGTCACATATGGGAGGTCTTGTTTCCACACACAATAATGTTGTGAGAAATGTTGAGGCGTTGAAGAATATATCAGTACACATTTATAAAGTTGTAAATATTCAAAGTTCAGAAGAAATAAAGATAAATCGATTGCGTCTTAAGGCTACCATTGATAGTGTTCAATGACTTACTTTACAGGGATGTGCCTTGAGAGGTCGTGATAAATCTGTAATGTCAAAGAACCGTGGTAATCTAATTGAGATGATTAGTTTGATGGCAAAGTTGAATGTTCAGATAAATGATGTTGTCTTAGAGAAAGTTCTAGGAAATGCAAAGTATACGTCTCCTATGATCCAAAAAGATATTTTGCATATTCTAGCTACCAAAGTAAGAGAAAAAATTCGTGAAAAAAGTTGAAAATGCCAAGTTTTGTATTTTGGTTGATGAAGCAAAGGATGCATAAAATAAAGAACAAATGGCAATTGTTCTAAGATTTGTTGATGTTCAGGATTTTTTGCAGGAAAGATTTTTTGAGATTGTGCATGTTAAAGATACTACTTCTTTAACTCTTAAGAAGAAAATATCAAAAAATTTTACTCGACACAATTTGCACATTCAAGATTTACGAGGTCAGGGATATGATGGTGCTAGCAACATGCGTGGTGCATTTAATGGATTGCAAGCTTTGTTCTGCAATGATTGTGAATATGCATGCTATGTTCATTGATTTGCTCATCGTTTATAACTTGCATTAGTTGCAACTGCTGAAGATGAGATTTTAATATGACAATTCTTTCCAAATTGACATGCATTGTCAATCTTATTAGTGTTTCTCATAAGCGTCATACAGAACTGCGATCTGCCGAAGCTACTGAGATTGAAAGGGGGATAACTAGTGGTGAACGAGAGACTGATGCAGGGGCTAATCAGATGAGTACTTTGCATCGAGCTGGTACTACTCGTTGGGGCTCACATTTTGAATCCATTTGCGGTCTGATAGATATGTATGATGCTATCATTAGTGTGTTTGAATGTATGGTTAACAAAGGATCTTCAAATACAATTCATGGGCAAGTTGGTGGTTCTTTAATGATAATGAAGTCCCTCAATTTCATATTCATATTGCATCTTATGCACAAGATTATAGGGATTACGGATATGCTTTGTCGGGCATTGCAGCATAAATCATTAGATATTTTGAATGCAATGAATTAGTCTCATCGACAAAATCATTGCTTCAAACCTTGTGAACAGAAGATTTTGATTATCTCCTTGACAATGTGAAATTAGTTTGCATGAAATTTGATGTCGATATATTTGATATGAACACTCAGTACAAATGGGCAAGACGTTCATGTCAACAGAATGATAATATTACAGTTGATCATCATTATCACATAAACATATTTAATGCTACGATTGATCATCAGTTAGAAGAGTACATAGTAGATTCAATGAAGAGATAATGAAATTGCTTATGCTCAGTTCTGCTTTAGATCCTCGGGACAACTTTAAATCTTTCAATCTTGATTGCATTTGTTTACTTGCTGAGAAGTTTTATGCGACTGATTTTGATAGACAAGACATGCATCATTTGAAATGTCTACTGGATCATTATCAATTTGATGTGGTTCACCATGAGAGGTTTCAAAGTATGTCTACAATTTCATAATTATGTCATGGTTTAGTAGAAACAAATAAGGTAGAGTCCTACAATTTGATTGATAGGTTGATTCGTCTAATTTTAAATCTTCCCGTTTCTACGGCAACTTCAGAAAGAGCATTTTCAGTCATGAAACATGTCAAAAGTACTCTTTGTAACAAGATGGAAGATGAGTATTTGACTGATTCGTTAGTTGTCTATATTGAAAGAGAAATAACGGAAGCAATCAATACAGATTCAATAATATATGTCTTTTGTTCTAGGAAGGATCGAAAAGTCCAATTTCATTAGTAAATGGTTATGAGTTTATATTTGTATTATTGAATATATGTTTATGAGTTTACATTTGTATTTTGTTAGTCGTATGAATGCTTAGCTTAGTCCGGAATAAACAAAAATCTTGACTCCACCCTTGCATGGGATGTTCTTGTTGCAAAATCATGCATTCTAGTGCAACCTTTATTTTTTTCTCTTTTTGAATAAATGATCTAATGCATAAATTGTTTTGAGTTCATTTTTATCAACTTCATTGTTTCGGTTAAAACTGATTTTAATGTTCTTAATTTTGAAAAGAGCAACTGAATTTATTATCCTAATCTACTAAACTATGGGTAAAAAGCACCAATGGTTCATAAGGTTTGACACGTATTGCACTTTTGTCTTTAAACTTCTTTTAATTTCGTCAATTTCGTTCTCAATGTTTACACTTTGACCCACTTTGGTCTTTACTCCTAATTTTATGCCAAAAAACTAACGAAAAATGCCATGTGCCATGAGGGTATTAAGGGGCATTTTAGTCATTTTACAACTATTTATACATCCAAACATAATTAATCTTGGACCCAAACACCCACCACCTTCTTCTTTTCTCTTCTCTCTCCTCACACACGCACAAATACTTCTGAGTTATCTCTTGCTCAGACACAAACATCTCTCTCTTAATTTACTGCATCTCCACACCCAAAACCCAACAAATCCCCTTCTCTCGTTACTGTGTCTCCACCCCAAACCCAAAACTTCTCTCTCTGCTCTCTTCTCTCTCGTTATTGCATCTCCACCCTCAAACCCAACACAAAAATTTATTATTTTAAATTTTTATTTTTAGTTTTATTTTTTATTTTTTAAAAAAATATATATATAAATACATATGTTATCATTGTATTTATATATAAAAATAATGTATACATAATATATGTATATATCAAAAAATATATAAACAAATAAGATAAATTTTAACACAAATAATTAACTTTTCATCCACTTTTCATCCACTTTTCTTCCGATTTTGGAGGGATTAATTTTAGTGAATTAGAAAGAAAGCTCATTCATCCACTTTTACATCATTCTTATTTTTCTTCCTTACCAAACATGATGTTTATTTTTTCCTCTAATTTTCTGTCATTCAAACTTTTTATCATTTCATTTTTCCAACATACCAAACAGAACATAACATTTCGCGTATCATATGTTGTATGAGAAATAGGTCTTGCTTTCATGGGGATAACTACGTATCCAAGGTGTTATCAAACTAAAATTTCAACTAATAACCAATCTCAAAGTGTTGTGATCGATAGTAAAAGGAACAATTTATAACTTGTGAAACATAAGTTATAATTGATTCAATTAATTCATAATTGATAACAATATTTCTTCAATTAGTTCTAACTTCACCGTAAAATATAGTCATTTCACTTTTAAAAGTTGTATTTTGCAGTAAAGTTACAACATTTTATGATCAATCATGAATTACTTCAAACACTTGAATAATTTGACCTTACAAAATAATAATTTTCAGTACAGACTTGTTGAAAAAAAAAAACTTTTTTTAAGTATTGTTCGTAGAACTACCTAAAAACTAATGGGTTTATGAGGTGGAGAGAATCTCAGTGATGACAATTAATTACCTTAAGTCAGCTGTGCAGTCGACATCAAAGCTCATGATGAAGACAAGCGATTAGTTGGTTAATTTGATAACTTAGATATAAACAGGGTTGACTCCATTGTCCCAAGAGAGACCAGTTATAAGTCTCTCTCTCTCACTGCAGGCAGGGGGTTTAGTGGAAACCGTAGAGATTGAAGAAAGAGCCTAAAGTTCAACCTTCAAGAAGTCCCTTGCTTGCGTATCAAGTTAATGGCTTAGAACCTGGAAAATGACACCAACGCGTTTCATTGGATAGCAAGAAATTAAAATTTTATTTACACATTATTTTCAAACCGTCCACGAATACGGGGAAGATTTGTCATGGGTTGTGAAATTTCGTGGCAAAAATTGAAAAACGGCTATTAAAGAAGAATTGAAAAGAAACAAACTTAGCATTCCCACAATATCTACAATAGATCTAAGCTCTCCCAAACACCCACACCCTCTCCTCAAAAAGGAAAAAAAAATTGACCCCAGTAATCACTAACATGTTAACTAGATAGTCAGATTCTGCAACTATCAAATTGGTTGGCTTTGTTTAGAAGATATAATAAGTGATTCTTCAAGTTTTGACTAATAATCAATAGGATGCTTGGAAATTTCCTGCTCTATTCTTGGAAGCTTTACCTTTTACAAAATGGACTTTGATCAATCTCCCACGCAGTTTTAAACTCAGAATATACTTACAAATTAAATTAACTTTCTGAGAAACATCTTTGGGCTATCCAACCAACTTATAAAAGGATATCTCTCCTAATCGAATGAAAATAACATCAGACGTCGATCGATATATAGCACCGGGCATGAAATTTTTGTGGGGACTTATACTTTTGTTGCTGATTCTGTGTGCAGCAACTTCTTTGCTATTTTTGGATTTTTCGTTTTCGTTGTATGGTTATTTCGTTGGATTTTCATCTAATGGGATGTTTGTATTCTCAGTGCTTAACATTCTAATATGTGCCATTCTTGCTATTAGTTTTCAACCTTCAGCTGATGACATTGATGCATTCTTTCCTTTCCTCTTTGTTTATGGAGTAGGAAAGGATCAGACTGAAGAGATACATGATGCTAGTGAAGGTTGCAGTAGCCCTGGCAGCATCATTAGTTATTATAATAATGGTGATGACGACAATGATGAAATTGTTGATATTTATTATTTAGATGGTTACGAAGAAGATGACGATGATAATGGTAGTGACGGCGAGATTGGATGGAATGATGATGATGAAAAAGAAGAAGAATACGACGAAAATTTTGAAAGCAGAATTGAGGAATTTATCGCCAAGGTCATAAATGGATGGAGGGAAGAATTGTTAATGGAGAAACCCGAAATATGGATGGGTTGAAACATTAGTATGAATAATGCAAAATCCATTTTGTCCCCGAGTGTTCATTTTAATGATACTTCTCATTTTTTGCATCGTGTCATACTGGTTTTGTGTATTTTTTTTCTTTTTTTTTTGGGTTGTATTTTGCATTTTCCATTCTTAAAATCCGCCGTTTTTGTTTGGGATTTGAAACTTCTTCATATGTTTCTTTCTAAATAAGTCCTTTTTTAGTGACATGATTGTGTGTACTGTCGCACCTAGCTGAAGAATTTCTGTACCGTTGTGGGTTATGAATCAATTGAGCAGTGTATTGTACTATTGGGTTGAATTTTTAGAACAATCTTCATATCAAGTGAAATCTTTTATCAAGTGTATTGTACTCTCTGTATGCCTTATGAACCACAACATTGTTTAAGCCATCACAGAAGATGGCAAAGAAATGTTATGAACTTCGACCCTGAAAATTGGCTTGCAAGGGAAAGATGTCCAAAAATTCATACAAAATAGAATTTGACCCTAAAAATTGGCTTGCAACGGAAGGGTGTTTAAGAATTCATATACACACATCTTGTCTTATTTTTAACTAATGTGGGATTGTAATTGATGGGTCAAGCCCAAGGGCCCAACTCATGATATAAGTCCGGTCCGAGCTAAAAGTCTATCTCCAAGAGATCCAGTAAGTCCAGCTCAATGTGGTCAAGCTCATCAAGTTCAAGGAACTATATTAGCAGGAAGTATGCAAGGGTCATCCAAGAGTCTCTTCTTTGCCACCTTGGAGTAAGGGTCATCTAAGAGTTTTCTCCTCGCCACATTAGGGTAAAGATCATCTAAGAGCCTAATCCAAGTCCCTTTGGAAAAAGTCAACCCTCACTTGATCCTTTGACTGAGTCTCATGGAAAGCACCTCAACCGTTTCCCCCCGTTGAGAAAAAGTCACCAGATCTACTAAAATAGTTATTTAGTTGATATTAAGTCGCCTTAATTTATTATGAGGCGATTATAAATTATAAGCTCCGTCAACACTTAGGGGACAGATCTCACTCTATTGAGCACAATTCTCTCCTCTCTCTCAACTTATAACTCTTTGCTCTCCGTGCACACTTGAGTTAATAAATACTCGGCAACCTTAATCATTCAAAAGTTGACGTAGGTCACGTTGACCGAACGACTATAAATCTTGTCTTGCTTTTGTTTCTATCTCTCACTTAGCAATTACTATATTTTTACTATTCAATTGACAAGTGGTGTACAAACTTAATATGTGCATCATCAGTAATATTCCACCACACTTCTATATCTGAAATCTATGATGATCTACTCTATCGATACGAAACCATGGTAACATCTTTTTTTTTTTTTTTTACGACTCCACTCACCTATCAATATTTAATGAGATAGTATTATACTCATACGTAATACCAAGTCATCTCGTGTATCAATATTCAATGAGATAACATTATACTCATATAATACAAAATTATTTTTATCTAGCCTATAGGTCGCCCCTTTCGTGAGTCGACCACAAAGAGCCACAACTCACTGCATTCAATCGCATACTCAACATAGTGATTAACTCTAATACTAATTGTTATAAACTCATAAGTAGATCTTGAATTCAAAAATCGGCTTGCAAGGGAATATACACACATTTTATCTTATTTTTAACCGATATGACATCATGACAAAAAATAATTCAAGAATAGAGGTATTCTTTTTCACTTTAGTGTGCTGTGTAATTCGATGAATGACAACATAAATAAAAATCAGTCTACTGTTCCTGTTTTCAGGAATGGTGGTTGTGTGGTTTTCGCAGGTCTTGGCAACGCCGGAGAAGGACCACAAGAGTCGAACGTGGATCATTTGAGGATGTTAGAACTTCTTGGCCCAAACAAAAAATTAAACAAGAAATAAATTCTTTTAACATTGGTAGAAAACATGTGATTCTATGAAATTAAAATAATTCTATATACAGATACATAGAAAACCATGACTTTCTAATTATTATACATACAACAAATACAGAAAACAACTCAGTTCTCATCCCTGGAATCTGAGTACAAAAAATGGGGCTTCAACATGAAATAAAACAGCACAGCTGTTCAGATTCCCCCTCTCCAAAAAAAGAATCATCATAAATGCTAATAACCTTCAGTTGGGATGAGATATAATGAAACATTTTACAATCATAGAGAATTTGGAATCACAATCAAAGCACAAGCCGAGAAACCTATTCCTTAACCCAAACTTACTCAAATTGTATCCGTCACAGAAGACCAGCTAGTAACAAGGCAGTACTTCAATGCCACCCCTTGACAGAATGCAGAGGCTGGTGGGGCTTAATACCTATATCCATAAAGTGGAAGCTATAGTGCTTGCTCATCATCTTCCAATGCACTATAGATCACCCTGCACCAAATTTACCCAAAAAGAAAAATTAAAGCATTCAAATTGACAAGTTAAGAAAAAAATAAGTCTAATTGTCAGGGAAAAGCTTGAATGGTGTCACAATACCAAAACAAGGAGATAAAAAGGAGAAAAATGACATAGGCGAGCTTGAAAATCCGTTTCTTCTTTTCCCAATTGAGCAAGTTGAAGATCTCAGTTACGTCAATGAGGTGCTGTCTTTGCATGTATCTGATCCCATGAAAAGACAAGTCGCAATAAGCAGTTTGTTTACAATGAATCATATGCATCTATATAATTATAGAATTGGCCTACCCAAGAATCCCACTGCACAAAACCATCTTGATAAAACTGTGAGATTACAACTCAGACATGCATGAGATGAAAACATGATGTGCGTGTCTAACTTAACCACAAGGTAGTGCTGATGTTGTTTTGAGTCAAAATCACAGAATGACTATGAATGAGAGAACCTTGATGAGCTGCATAACCAATTAACCTTCTCCTCAGCCTAGGCTATTTTCATATCCATTTCATACTGACACCAAATTTTCAAGTGAATCCCAACAATACCCTGTCTTGGAAGAACATACTACACTTATTGAACAGGGTTCATCTCAATCTATACTGCTGCCTGCTCCTATATAACAAAGAATTGTAGGAACCCAATTGCTATAGGATGCTAAAGATCTAACAAAGATATAGGAACCCACATACTATGACAAAAATGTGTAGTGCATGCCTGCGCAAGTGCATCTGCCCACATATCTCAAATTGAATAAGACCTAAGTCACCCCAATTTAAGGTACGAGGCTGAGAAGACTTACAATCTTGTATTGTAGTATAGGTATGGAGCACCCAGCAGGGACATAAACCAATGACCTGTTAGAAGAAACAAGAGGCACAAAACTCCTTGCGTGATGAACTCTGGTAAAACCACTCTGTTTATCCGAGATGCAGAATCATAAGGGTTGATAAAGTCAAACTCAAGATCAGTTAAGCACATGAGCTGCAACAAATTTATCAGATATCAGCGTCCATAATTTTCTAAACCAACTTAAGTTACAAGGTAACTGCCAAAGAATTGATGGTTATTACAGAGCTTGGAATTAGTATATCCCAGAACATGCTCCTTGTTCGCCGCTTATGAGATTGAATCATTTGATTTCCCCAAGTATAAGATACTAAAATTCTAGGAAGCACAACTGCATAACTTTGTTTTGGAAGGTACAATTGCATAACTTTTACTAAACCCAGCATCACAAACATGACAATATTTGGAGGCAGTTGAATTTCAGCGCAAAGTTTTATATCTCCTAGAAATTTGAAAATCCAAAGATGACCATATATGCTTCCGCAAAAGAGACTCCAAATAGGAGGCAACTGGTTGAGCAGCCAGATCATTCAAAACAAAGTCCAAACAGGAGGCAACTGGTTGTGCAGCCAGGTCATTCAAAACAAACTCCATTTAACTAATGTAATGATGATGCCGTAAGTAAACTTGGTGAAATATATATCATTAGTCGACTTATACCCAATCAGTTCACTTATCACACTCTTAAGTGTGTAATAGTGATGTAGTCAATGCAAGAACTTGATTTTGCTTCATCGGCTCATACCCAATCTTATTCTTCTTAGTGACTGGATACTACAAACAAGTATTTATGATTTAACACACACCTAGGCACCACCACATTCAAAAGATATTTCAAATCACTTCTCTCGTTAAACTCACCCAACTCATATTTAAAAAAACTCATCAAAGAGGGGAAAAGTTCAAAAAAAGTCCAACAGATAAAAGATTTGCGTCCATCAGTAGCCCAATCTTCCTCATACAATTAGTCACAGTGTAAAAGAACTTTTTTTTCTAAATTTTCTTAAGGTCTCATCACCGCATCTCTTCAAGAGTTAGCCCTTTTTGAGGTTGTGCCTGGTTTACGGTTTACCCTTTGAACCTCGGGTTTTCCTGCTATATATTTTAGGGCAAATCCGATTACTTACACCTTCTCCATCTTGCCTCTAAGAGAAAGGAAGAAACACACACACACCAGAAACCCCCAATTCACTTAACTAAGAGTCTGTGAAATGGGTTACCTAGGTAATCATATAAATTAAGAGTCTGTGAGATGGGTTACCTAAATTATGAGCCAGGAGAGAATAGGTAGACATTTACAAAATGGAAGGTATGTGGCATACATAAGTTTTACTGAACCTTTCTGCTTTTAACAAACCAAGAACTCCGTTTGCTGTCCAGATTAAGCTCAGATCACAGCAATGTCACCAAAAAATAAACAAAGAAAGAGGAACAATTGAAACTAATATGAGCTAACAGGATCGTAGAGGATTGACCTGGAAAATAACAATAACGAGAAGAGCGATGAGTACGAAGAAGAATAGCAGCCATGCCCACACATCTCCCATTCTCTTCTCTTTCCCTCTCTCTCCGGCTATCCTTTCCACGATACCCGCCGAATACAAGTGAAGAATCGGATAGAATATAGAGACGGTCGGACTTCAACGAGAAACAGACTGTCGCTGAGCAGAGAGAAGCAAGGAATCGTGGGTGCTGCACACCGAATCAGAATGTGAGTAGTATAGACGACAGACATGGCTAGGGTTCGAACAAAAAAAAAAAAAAGTGAAGATTGGGCCCAGTTCTCCTCGGAGTTATAATAACTTGTGGATGATATGTCTATTTTTTATTTAAATTTATCATTTTTTTTAATTTTTAAAATATCCTTAGTAATATTATTTTGTTCAATTATAAAAATCTTAAAAACATTAAAAATAACTTTAAATTAATTTTTTATAAATTATTATCCCTTAATTTACTCTTGAAATTTAAATTTATATTTCTCTCTCTCTCTCTCTCTCATTAGAAAAGAATCATTACTCCAGTACAATAAATATTTCTCCTTAAATATCATTTCTTCTTTCATAGAATTAAAATCAGTAAGTTTTAAAACATTATCAACAACTACCATATCTTCTATTACGCTCTAATTATCATGGACTTCTATGTCGTTAGTTTTTTGGAAAAAAAAAAAGTTGAAAAACTTGCTCAATGTATTATTACTTGGATCCCCAACTTTATTTTTATTTTTTTGATAATCTCCAAAAAATTTTAATGTTTCATGTTATTCCGTTTTTTTGTTGATTATATTACTTTTTTTTCTAATTGACCATTTTACTATTTTTTTTTCACATTACTATATTTTTATTGAGCAAGTTATTACTTTTTCAGTATTATTTTTTTGGATGCTGAATAATTGGAGACTTCTTTCTCTGGTTATAGGTTTGAATGCTACTATTTTTATTTTCAATTTTGTTCAATGTTCTATATTATTTTTTTTTTTTGAGCACGGAACTATTTTTGCTGAGTATGTTACTATTTTTATTAAACATATTGTTATTTTTGTTAAACATGTTACTATTGTTATTTTTTTTAAATATTAATATTAAATGTTATTATTTTTTTATGTTTAAATATTTTTTTTGTGTGTTTAAATAGTATTATTTTTTTTGTTTAAATGATAATTTTTTTTTTGTATTTAAATGTTACTAATTTTTATTTTTAATATTACTACATATATATACTAATTATTACTCGTATCTGAAAGCACTACTATATTAGTTTTAAAATTGCAACACACATTTGAATAACGTCAACCTGAATGCAAAGCATTTATATGACAATCAACAAATTTTTATAGTCGTAACAAATACGAAAATTAAAAAGAATAATTTTAGTAATACTTACCTGGTAAAAGAGAAAAACAATTACCCCAAATCCATGAGCTATTGAGTATGAAAACTTCTACATAATTAAGTAAATAATTATTATTAAACATAACAGTGAACTCGGTCATAACTTAAAACTATTGAAATTAAGATACACTGAGTGCCAATAATGGTCGTCTAAAGAAATCTGCAAATCACAACATCAATTGTATCTGCTATTGTGGGGACAAACCTACAATCAAAAATACAAAGTCATTCAAAATTAAGGAAGTGGAAAATCTGATGTTTATTGGCATACAGATCAAACCAAAAAAAGAAGCAAAAACTATAAATTTATTAGACAAATTTTTTAAGTAACAATGCTACCAATGTACGTATACATAAAAGGAGAGGGAATCTACAAAAAACAAAGCCAGTTAAGAAGCCTAGAAAAACAATTCACCCAAAATTCAAAAACAAATACTATCAATGACTTATTAAATTCACTAAGACAGTAAAAAAAGGACATGATTAGACCATTTAATGAACATCAAATATAGATATTAGAGAGATATAGTCATAACCTATATATGGATATAGATAGATATGAAAGAGAAAAATTTTTAATGCTAGTTAAACTCCTAAAATTTAAGAGTTTTTAATTTTTAGTTTTACTTCACTTCTAAAAAGAATGGATAGTTTGGTAAAATTAATAAAAAATAGAATTTATAACATATAATTTTCCTTGACAGACTTAAGTTCATATAAGGAGATCGGCCTCCAAATTTTTCAAAAAAAAATTGAAAATAAAAAAAGATTAAGTGAGGATGGTAATAATTTTCTTTCATTCTCTCTCTAATTATGTCTGATCAAAAAATAAATATGTTGAGATCTTTTCTCAGGCATTTCTTAGGAATAATTATGTAAATTTAAATATTACTAATTTAAAATATATGTTTAAAAGAATGTCAAGGTTAAAATTATCTTTTTTTAACAAGGAATTTATGTTATCTTAAACTCGAACTGATTGAATCTCAAATTTAAATTATATAAATTGTTAATCAATTCTATGAATTTCTTTTTTGGTTAGTAATTTTATAAATTTGAATAACATTATTTTACGCAATAAAGATTGATAGAAAGTTAGAAGCACAACATCCAAGTTGAGAGACCATAGAGTTGCACAATATTTACGGGGATTTTTTCACTTATTTGGCTGGCTATGGCCTATGTGCCTATGGGGGGACACCACAGATTTGGGGGACCTGAGAAGCTATAGTAAGAAATCCATGAAATATGTCAATGGAATTGGAGACTTGGCCTCCTCCTTTACTTCCTGAAAGCAAGATGAATTGGCAGCGTTGTTTGGTTTGAGGCACAAAAAGAAATTTCGTGACCCCAAGTTTATCAACTTCTCCTCTGGATTTAAGCCTGCACCCAACATAAATTTCACATTAATTAGTTATAGTATATGAAACCAACATTATCATTACCAAACAATCTGAAAAACAACAAATGTACAGAATTTTACACTTAATTCAGAGAAATTAAGTCAATGGTATGGTATAGTCTGGTCTCTTTTGAGAGTGCAAGACATCACTTCCTATTTATAGACTCACTAGTGACTTCTTATAAAGGGTGTAATCATATGTAATTGTGTCTTTTTGTTCAAAATGAATCAATTGTGACTTTATAAAAACGTACAATTATTTGAAATAGTATTTTTTAACCAAAAAGATATCAAATGTGACTTTATACAAAATTGTGACCATTTGTAAAAGTGACTTGTAAGAGCATCTTCAATCCAACTCAGCAAAATAGTTAGTTAAAATATATTTAAATATTATATTTTCTATTTTAATTAGCCCATTTTTTAAATTTATTTCAATCACGTTTTATATTTTAGTTAACTATTTAACACCCATCCACTTTAAATAACAAAAATCAATTGATCATAGCAATTTAATCATACATTGTATAAATTTAATCATCAATAACAATTTAATCACCTATTTAACCAAAGATCAATAGTAATTTAATCACATATTTAAACAAAAATTAATACCTATTTAGCCAAAAATCAATACCAATCAATAATAAAAATCAATAGAGATGGGGGTGGATTTCGGCAGCAAAACAAAGGGAAGGGAGAGTTTGGTTTCGGCAACAAAACAAAAGAGAGTGGGAGCTAGGTTTCGGTAGCAACGACAACAAAATAGAGGGAGTTGATCACAGCAAGAAGTAGCGAGCAAGCTGACCTCTTCAGAATTGGCGAGCATGAAGGCCTTCTAGGTTTTAGCGAGGAGGATAGCTAATTAAGTTGGAGCTGATTTTTGGAGTGAAACTCATCAAAATAGCTAAATTAAAGAATAACTAATGGGTTGGAGATGTTTTAATCAAAAGATGTTAATTGTGATTTTATAAAAGGATGTAATTATTTGAATTGACGTCTTTAACCAAAAGCCACTAAGTTTAAATTAATAGTTATTTTATGTTATCTTTATTTCACACATTTTCAATTTCTACCAATAGTCGCAAAGAAATTTTCAAAAATAATCGCCCAAATAATCTTTTTATTTTGAAAATACTATAACAATTTATTCATATGAGGATTTTTAGTCTTAAAGAGTACTTAGATGAGATTTTATTGAGTGAATGAGTATTCGTATGGTATTTTTTTTTTTTGTGTGTTTTTTTTTTTTTTTTGGGTAATATTTAGACCAGTCTTCAAGTTTCAATCTTTCAAAGTCTTAAACTATTTTAGGAAAAGATTTTCTAAACACATCAGTTTTGCCGATGACCATACAAAGAACAAAGTAAAAGTACACATGGACTTACTCTCCAGACTAAACGGCGAATAGTGAAGCTCCGAACACCGTGTATCAGTTTCACTCAACAACGGTCGTCTCTTCTCCTTCACATGTGTAGCCATGGCCGACTTCATCAAATCTCGGACTGTGTTTTCCGGCGACATTACCACCTGAATTGACCCCAAGCTGTTCTGAATGTTCACTCTGAGCAACAGTTTCGTCAGCCTCTGCGACATTATTCCACTCCTACTGCTATTCATCTGCGTCAGTCGTCGTTGGGAAATTTCTATAATTCCCGGGCGATTCCGGACGAGTTCGTGTGTCTCAACTCGACCGCCATGTGCGGCGGAGTGCTGGTTGATGACGCCATGAGGACGTCTAAGTGGTGGTGGAGAGGTCATTTTGGGAGAAAAATTGGAAATTGAGCAACGAGGTTCGGTGATTTGAAATAGTGCCAATGTTTGCGTGTGTGTGAGTGAGAGAGAGAGAGGGGGGGGGGGGTGCAAAAGTTATAGAACAATCAATACTAAGTTATTGACCAAAGGGTTTTGGACCAGGTACTTTGAAGACCTTGTTTTTTTAAATTTACCGTTCAAATCTCCCTCCTTTCAAAAAATTTTTTTTACAAAACTATAAAATTATTGCAGACAAATTAACTGTCTTTAATCTAATAATACTCTTATTTTGTGAAAATTTTATTTTTTTGAAATCAAAAGTTCAGACCCTTTTCTTCTTCCCTTCCAAAAAAAATATATATATATTACATAGGACGGACTGCTCTCGTCAGGTGCGTGCGTGAGTGAGCATGAAGCCTAAAAAATAATGTTTCAACTCCATGATGTAGTATATCATTCCGTCACTCCCTCGTATGTAATTTTTTCATAGGCTTGAGGGCTGCGGGTTAATCGCTATGAGTGAGATCGGTCATTATTTATTCTATTTCTTCGAAATAATCGAGTCTCAAGTATATATGTATTTCATATGAATTTTTTATTTTTGGTATCTTCCGCAAAATTGATAGTCAATTAAGATTTTTTAATTTTTTTTCCGGACTTGATGATGATGTTAATTCGAAGACATATCAAGATGTATATACAGGCCGAGTTAAGGAATTTAAAACTTAAAAGTGTGATGCGCTGCAGTTGACATGTTGAATGCGACTTTTTTTTTTAATTTTAACCATTCTTCTTTTGCTGATAAAAGCAAGAGCAACAAAAGATAAACACATACGTTTTTACCACGTTGACAGTTGCGAAAAGGCATCTAAACTTTAATTGATTTTTTAAATTTGTCACTTAATTATTCAAATTTTTTGAGATTAAAAATATTATATATATACCTCTTAAAATTTACACGTATGTAATACTTAAACTCCTGCTGTAAATATTTTCATTAATAAATTACATCCAAATCTCTTATAGTTGATAAACATATATTACTTAAATCTATTAAGTTTAAAATGTTATATTTAGACCAAAAATATTTTAATTAAAAATAAAATATTAAATATTTTAAATTTTATAATTAAATTTATATTCTATTGTATTATTTATTAAAATAAAATTAAAAATAAAAATCTAATTTTTCCAAACTTAAATAGTCAAAAGAAAGGACGGACTTTCTTAGTCAGGTGTCGTCGGCACGACCGGCCCATAGCTTACAGCCACACATCCTCTGCCGACCAGACTTTTTATTTTTTTTATACTGCTCCCTCAATGTCAATTATGGCCCAGTTTAAAGCATGTACCAAAAAAAGAAAAAAAATAACTAGCTCTTAGGAGGATACATTTTATATTTTTCAAGAAAGAAAAAAATGAACGATACATTTTTTTTGTTTTATATTTAATAAAATGTATGTAACATAAAAATAATTATTTATTTTTGGTGCTTCGTAAGATAGAATTTTTTTCTATTTTTAATTTTTAATTTTTTTAAAATATAAATATATATTTTGTTATTGTATTTATATATTAAATTAATGTATACATATGTATATATCAATGGATATATAGACAAATAAAATACATTTCAAAATAAATAATTAATTTTTTCATCCACTTTTATTTTAATTTTGAAGAGATTAATTTTAGTGAGCTAGAAAAAAAGTTCATTCATCTACTTTTTATCATTTTTATTTTTCTTCATTAATAAATATGATATTTTATCTATTCTTCTAACTTTTCATCTTTTCAATTTTTTATTTTTTTTGTCGAACCAAACCGAGTATTTGGATTTCTGCCGACCAGACTTATTCATAGAGTTTGGCAGTTAAGGGGGCCAATATGTTATTTTGGATGGGCATTCAAGTTAAGTTGAATGTTAGCTCCCATAGGGCCATGGTTTTAATAGCTATTAATAGCCAATGTCGGAATTGCACTTTTTTGTTAGGTATTGCGGTTGAGGGTTTTCGAGTATGTGTATTTCGATTAATTTCTTCTTCAATTCAGTCATATATAAGTCATCTATGCCACAATTAAAAAATTTATGATAAATAAATCTCTCACGACCTAACTATAAAAAAATTTATCAAATTTCAATCACACGAAATCTTAGTTTACAATTTGTCCTCGTCTCCACAAGGCTGTCATTGGAGTTGAATTGCATTCAAATTATGGATACAGAAAAATAAGAGACCAATTAGTTATATTCAATTAACCTTTAACAGTGGCCTAGTGGTTGCAACTGTCCTTTGATAATCTAGAGGTTCAAGTTTAATTTTTTCTTATACCTCTTTAAAGACTACCCACTCTTGTCCCTTTAGGGACAGGACATGCTCCAAACTAATTCAAGCCACTATAACCGGCCGTTGAACTTGACAGAATAGTCGACGTAAGCCTGAACACCTTGTAACAAAAAAAAAATTCTTAGCTCTCTCTCTCTCTCTCTCTCTCACACACACACACACACATTCCCACCTACAAAGAAGACCCATGCATGCACACAAACACAAATGAAGTGAAAAACTAATCTTGCAAAATCTAGAATAAGCTGTTAAAGAAATATTTGACATGTAATCTATTTAGAGAAAGATTACAATGCTGTTAATAAAGGGTACAACGACACTGGATTGGGTGTATCCCAAACAATATGGAGGAGGGAAATTTACAATTGGGAAGAAACTCCCACCAACCTCCCAGAAACTGAAAAAAAAAAAAAAGTTGACAAAGCACTAACAAATCCAATAGTATCATGTTACTCTAAGAATGGAATGGTCTAAATCATCCATTACACTGCAAGCAACCCATGATTTTCCAAAGCTTACGTGTTCTCCTTATGATTTTATTGATCTTCCGAGAAATGAAATTTGGGAGGAAGATGAAAGGAGGTTGAGTGATTAGAGTGTTTGCAGTTGCTGAAAGATTGTTATCCGAAGCAGGTGCTATTTTATCTTGGCTACTACAACAATTACTCGTTCGAAGATAAAAACTTCGGCCCCCAACATCTCCAATCACGGCTGACTTATTCATACCTACACAACCAAACCAAATGAGAAACAGTAAGAACAACATCACAGCAATAAGCACTTCAATACAGTATTTGCATTGAAGTTACTAGATGATCACATGTCTTAACTGCACACAGCAAAAAGAAGGTAAAAATGGATAATCCCCCGTCTCTTCTCTTTTTATGCATCAAATAGTTACATTAATTCATATAAAATTTTATCAACAAAAAAAAATATATGTAAAGAGATTGATGATATCTTCTTATACTAAATTGCTAGCTCCGTTAACTGTTACCCTTCAGATTTAAAAAAAATTCTCTATGAAAAGGGGAAGGGGGAGTGGGCATTTGCAGCCAAAAGATGCCATTTTTCTTTTGTCTTCCACTGTAAAGGTCAGTTATTGGTGAGCCTTGCTTTATTGCCCATTGATTATCCGGAGACAATATATATAATATTTATACCTTTTGCCATGGACCAGAAATCTACCTAGCAGACACCTAAAAAATGCAAAGATACTCATGTACTAAAATCTTTATTGTCACATAAAGGATGGAGTATCTATAAATCCAATTCAAAACACCTTCCTCCGAAGGAAAGCAATAATACACACAAACACACACGTGTAGGCTGAAAAATAAGGAATTCCACAGTTTAATGAGAAAATTTTGTTCTATAATGAGTGTTACTCCATATATATAGTCAAGGATTATTCTAGACATGCTTGAAATAATAATTTTTTTTTTTTTTGGGGGGTGAGGTTGGGGGGTATTGCAAAATGTCAATATCAAAGAAATTTGACAGAATAATACTAATAAAGAGAGAGGAAATCACTAATAAAGAGAGAAGAGGGGATTTCGTGTCCACTCCTAGGATGTCCATACTCCATACACCCTTTATTTCTTTCAGGATGACTATCCACAACTCTCGCTTTTACCTCACTCAACAGTCTACTCATGAAATATCGCTCCCCAAGTAATTTTTAACTCCCTTTTTCACCCTATTCAACTGCCTATTCCAGCTCCACAGCCATGTGTGCAAGGCGTCTAATATTAAGAAAGGAGAGGCAGAAACACCATTTAATGAGTTCCATTGGTATATAGTTATACCAACCAAACTTCCTTAATCTCATTTTTGCATGATCCAAACGAATAGAGCAATAGAACTAAAAGAAACTAAAATACCTTCTGAAAGAGAATAAGAAATTCAAATACACAACTTACATTGAAGACTGAAGTATGACTGGTGTAATTCAAAGGTTGAAGCAGCATCTTTGTCAAGCCGAGGAGTCCGCCCTTCTTCACTATACTTGCGTACTACAAGCCTTATTGTCTCCTCCACACTTGATCCCAATTTGACCATAGTCCGTATTGGTCCTGGACTTCCCTCAACTGTGACATTAACCACCACTTTGGAATCCTTGTTGTACCCCTGCACCCCAAATTTATCATATGATCAAGACATTGAAGTTGTGTTTGGCATACAAAATATGAGCAGGTTAACATATGTTATGGTGCCAACTCCAGTTAAAGCATCTCAGATTCTCATTACTGTATCAGTAATCTGATTATTTTAATGACCCCCCAAAAAAAATATGCTTATTTGAATGATATTTTGACAAATTTGTTTGAATCATCAGAACTTTAAAAGAAAATTAACAATACAATTACAATCTACAGCATGTTGGGTCCTCATTATCATCATCATCAATTTATCATAACGACATGATATGAAGTTATTAATCACCATGCCATTCATTACTACATTTCGCTGAAAAGCACTCCATGAGCATGACTTAATAGGAATTAATTCATCTCTCTCTCTCTCTCTCAACAAAATCAAAATTCAGGCAATCTCATGAATTGTGCTAAAAATTATCCTAGGCCAGGACACAAAATCATGGAGGATGTCAGAAAATATAATATAAGTAAACTAGAGAGCAAAATTTCCTTCAAATAATTCCTAAAATCACGAAGATTGTGATATATCATGTTTCCGTCTCAAGGTATGTTCATGGTAAATAACCCATTGTTGATTTATCATGTAAAATTGCAATTATGTTCAAGAATTTCCAAGGAATTCTACAGAAAATAATTAAGGTCGAAAAAAAAAAGAGCATATTTACCAAATAACGCGTTAAATAAAATTAATGCAACCAAACAGCCCCTCAAACCCAAAGAACCAATCAAAAGCGAGAAATAAATATTATTATCCTACCTCGACTTTTTGGGGAGACCGAGAAAGCATCTCGGAAGGCGAGAATATGTCCGTACAAGTCTTTGGCCGGTAAAATAAAGAGTCCGGCGAAGTCAGATTCCGATGATCGTCGCCGACTATCCATAGACTCGGCTCGGAATTGCATCTCTCAAGAATCTTAATAGGCGTCGATGGCCTTGTCAATCCACGAGGAGCAGGTGTAGCTCTCCAGCGAGGTGACGGCGACGGCGACGGCGACGGCGATGGGTGTGGCTTTCTGGGTCTTCTCCGATTCAGAGGAACTCTTCGACTCAGATCTCTATCTGACATATATGTGTACAGATTGTATTTCAGTGTGCGCATATGTATATGTATATGTGTGTGTACAGGTTAAAAGTGTACTGTTAATCTGGCATCAAAGAAGTTTAGTTATGGAGGAAAGGAATGGAGGGATGGGGAAGAAGTAGAAGGAGGTTGCTTGGTGAGAGAGGTAGTTGGTGGTGGTTGCTTGAGAGACATTCTCAGTCCATTAACTGCTGTTTATTTTGCCTAAAGTTGACGCCTAACCTTTTCGTTTTTTCTGCTTTGTGTCTTGAGATTCAGGCATTATTACTCGGTTAATTGCCAAACATGCCATTTTACGATGATTGACACATCTATTGCGGAATACATGCCATTTTACGATGATAGACACTATAAAACTTGTTTGTATATATTAATGAAGTTCTTGACTACGGTACACCCAAAAAAAAATGGGTATTATCCGACTAAAATTTATTATTTTAAAAAATATTTTTATAATTCGTTTTACAATTAAAAAATTTATCATTTTTATTATTGATTTATCATTTTTATGAGTATTCTTATCACTGTTAGTATTTTTATTACATTTGTTGTAATTATTTTTATCATTTTTCTTAAGTGCAAAAAATCAATCACTTTTATGTGTGATTTATTATATTTGTGGATATTTTTATCATTTTTATAGTTGTTTTTTTCATTGTTGTAATAACTATGGATAAAGACATATTAAGCCTTATTTATTACTGAATTTTTTTTGATATATCCTGAATAATAATATTAAGCACCAACCTTTTATCTTCTTTTATTTTACAATTTTAATATCAACGCATCCTCTTATTTAGGGGGCTGTTTTTATTTTTTATTTTTGTTGGATGATAACTAATACTATGAATGTTCATGATTAAATTGATTTGTTTATCATAACTAACTTGATTATTTATTTCATTTTTACAACCTTACTTTTTTCTAATTGTGTATGATTTTATAGTCAACATAACTTAAAGTCCTTTTTTTTTTTATTATTATTAGGGTTAATCTCATTTTGTACCCCGAAAGATTGTTCGAATCTCAATTTGCACCCTCAAAGATAAAAAATCTCAATTTACACCCTCAAAGATTGAAATTTGTATCAATGTGCACCCCCAAAGATCAAAAATCTCAATTTGTACCCTCAAAAATAGAAATTTGTATCAATGTGCATCCCTAAAGATAAAAAATCTCAATTTGCACCTTCAAAGATAGAAATTTGTATCAATGTGCACCTAAAATTAAATTAATAAATTATACCTTGATCCCCTCATGTTTGTCACTTAATCATTTGAACTCCTTCACATTTAAAATATTCCCTTTACATCTCATGACGTTTATGCATGTGTAACACATAACCACTTTTCGTTGATATATATTAATATAATCGTTAAAAAATATGATTTTATCTTAATATAAAATTATAATTTTATATTACCTTTTATTTTGTGGATTCGATATACTCTAAAGTTAAAAATCAAGCTTACCATTTGAATGTCTAATAAAATGTAGATATTTATATAAAAAGTAATATGAAAAATATTATATAAATATTTATATTTTATTAGACATTCAAATGATAAACTAGATTTTGAACTTTATAGTATATTGAACCTATAAAATAAAGGGTAATATAAAATTATAATTTTTTATTAGGATAAAATTATATTTTTTAACGGTTATATTAATAGATATCAATGAAAATGGGTTACGTGTTATACGTGCACAAATGTCATAAGATGTAGGAGTAATATTCTAAATATGAAGAGATCTAAATGATTAACTGACAAATATGAGGGGATTTAGGTATAATTTATCAATTTAATTTTAGGTGCACATTAATACAAATTTCTATCTTTGAGGGTGCAAATTAAAATTTTTTATCTTTGGGTTACACATTGATATAAATTTCTATCTTTGAGAGTGTAAATTGAGATTTTTGATCTTTGGGGGTGCACATTGATACAAATTTCTATATTTGAGGGTGTAAATTGAAATTTTTGATCTTTGAGGGTGTAAATTGAAATTTTTGATCTTTGAGGGTATAAATTGAGATTCGAACAATTTTCGGGGTGTAAAATGAGATTAACCCTTATTATTATTATTTACAATTCAACAAGTATTCATGTTTTTGTTTAGTTGTTATATGTATATCTGCATATGGTAATATGCCATTACAATGATTTGCAAATATAATTTATCTAAGTTATTAGTTTAATGTCAAAAATTCTAAAGTTTAGGAGGTAGAGTTTCACAAAAAAATAATTACTCAAAATTGTAGGAGTGCATAGAATTTATTGGTCATAAATATCTCAGGAGTAATGCTAATTAAATTTAAAATTTTAATTTAATATATTAATAAAATAATTTTTTATAATTAATCATATCTCCATGTCGATATCACCGTCTATTATTGTCCGGCTAGTTTAAATTTCGTAGTCATAGACATTGACAGCCGCATAGCGTAAAGGTTGGCATTTGTCTATTTCAACCTTTCTAGCACGGGGATGGCAGTTTTCAACTCTAGCTGACGGATGACTCAACCCAACACCAAGGCAATTGATAATAAAGTGCAAGTTGTGGGCCTGTGGCTCATTATCAATAGTTTTTTTTTATTTTTTGTTTAAGGTTTAACTTAGGTGTTTGACTTAATTTGTACGAACTTTAATTAATATTCTTTTTAAAGATATGCTATTTACGATGAGATTACTGTTTCATTTGATATGATAAAAAAATAAAAAGATAAAAAATTGAAATGATATAAAGTTAGAGGAATAAATAAAACATTATGTTCGGTAAGAAAAAAAAATAAGAAGAATAAAAAAATAGATTAATTAACTTTCCTTCAAACTCACTAAAATCAATACCTTCAAAATCGAAAGGAGAGTTGATGAAAAATTAATTATTTGTGTTGAGATGCATCGTATTTATTTATATATTATGTATACATTAATTTCATATAAAAATACAATGATAAAATATGTATCTATATATACATTTAAAAAATACAAATACAAATTTTAAATTAAAAAAAAATTCATATTAATTAAGGATAAAAAATTTTGGTTCAGAACGATGACACGACTCGAACTCGACACAAATTTTATGACCTGGCACGCGAACAAAAAATATAAAAGGCTCATAATTTTATGAATCAACACGAATCTGACACGATACGACTCAATTGTTATCCCTAATATTAGACCAAATTTTTTTTTAAAAAAATTGGTCATTTTTATTTTTCATTCATCCAACCAAACACAAATGAAGGACAATATATCATTCATACTTTACATCTTTGAAGAATATAAAGTGTATCCCTCTTACTTTTTATCATTCCTACCAAACGGAGCATTAAGGTATTCATAAAGGATAAATTTAATTCTTTTGTGAGGGCCATAATTAATTACAGACACTTATAATCGATCACGAAATTTCGATATCGATTTTAATCTTTTATAATCGATCATGCCCTTTACAATTATAACTTTTACCTTAAAAAAATTATAATTTAATTTTAAAAAATTATAATTTTTGATACATTACTAATACCCGTAGCCTTTCCCATAAATTCAATTAAAGCCTACAAAGAAAGAATAATGCTCTGTTTGGTAGGAATGATGTAAAATAAGAATGATAGAAAGTAAAATATATATATTTTATATCATTAAAGGATGGAAAGTAGGAATGATATATTTTACTTTATTTGTGTTTGGTTGGATAGATGGAAAATAAAAATAACTAATTTTTTTTTAAAAAAATTTGTGTTGGCTAAGATTAAGGGTAACAATCGAGTCATATCGTGTCAGATTCGTGTTGAATCATAAAATTATGAGGTTTTTATATTTCTTATTCGCGTGTCAGGTCATTTTTAAGTTCATGTCGTGTTATAATCAAGTTCGAGTCGTGTCATCGTTTTGAGTTGGAAATTTTTACCCTTAGCTAAGATAAATTTTTTTTTATTATTTTAAAATTTTATTTTATTTTATTTTAATTTTTAAATTTTTTAAAAATATATACATATATTTTATCATTGTATTTTTATATTAAATTAATGTATACATAATGTATAGACAAATAAGATACATCTCAATACAAATAATTAACTTTTCACCCACTTTTTTTCCGATTTTAGAGGGATTGATTTTAGTGAGTTAGAAGAAAAGTTATTATATCTATTTTTTTATCCTTTCTATTTTTCTTCCTTATCAAATATGATATTTTATTTATCTTTTCAACTTTCTATACTTCTAATTTTTTTTATTTTTATTTTTACATCGTACCAAACGAAACATAAAGAATGTTGGTCCAAGTATCAAATGAACACATCACATCGTCACCACGAGAAACTTTTAATCTTTATATGGTGGGTCCAATTAGATCTTCAAATAGTGATCCAAAAAAAAAACATTTAGATCTTCAAATATACTGGCTACTTGGGCCCACAAAATTATTGGATTTTATAATGTGACCTCTTTTTTCTTTTTGTTTTGCTAGTAAATAAAAGAGTCAGACAGCGAGAGTGAGCACACAAAGATCCCTCTGATATGTTTTTATTGATAAGAAATTATTGGATTTTATAATGTGACCTCTTTTTTCTTTTTGTTTTGCTAGTAAATAAAAGAGTCAGACAGCGAGAGAGAGCACACAAAGATCCCTCTGATATGTTTTTATTGATAAGATTATAAAATATTTGTTCGCATTTATTACTTCTTTTGGAAATGAATTTAATTAGACCAATATCACAACCAATTACCGGACCCTAATATAAAAGAAAATATTCGGTGCCTATAAGGTACCAAGCTGGCACACACAGCTGAAACTCAACACCAATGAAAAATTGCCACCTCAATAATGTGTCTGTTATTGTCAAAAAGTTTCCAAGTCAACCACTTGAACATATTTTTAGGCGGAATTTTTTCTGTCGTTATCTATCTTTCTCTGCTGTCACTTTTTTCTCTCTCCTTCTATCACTTTTTTCTCTCTTCTCAACAGAAGATTTAAATTTCTAATCACCCGCTCTAATTTTTGAAATTTTGGATTACCATTGTAAAACAAGTGAGCAAACATAATAAAATATTTCAGCATTTTTTTTTTGGTTTCTCTCTTTTTTTCCGGTACACCATTTTTACATCTCTTATCCATTGAATATTTTTTCTTTCTTTCTTTCTGTTGGAGCTCTCTAGTTCATGCC